TCGTCGGCAGGGTGTGACGCTCATGAAGATAAAAAACTACGAGGGCGCTGCCACCTGTTTCGCCGACGCCTGCAGCCTCTGGCACTCCAACCCCGTCTGCCACTGCGATCTCGCCACTGCGTACCTGCATCTGGGCCGGTGCGTGTGCCTCTAGGCGGCGATCACGGGCGCTTATAATGGGGCAGATTTGCGGACGCAGAGATTTCCGCCTCCACGGCGCTGGCATTGGATCCGAAGCTCGTCGAGGCACGCTACGCGCGGGGTATGGCGCGGAAAGGGCGCGAGCTGTGTCACGATGCGATCATCGGTGCGCCCAAGGCTGTGTTCCGCGGAACTTTTTTTTCTTCTCACCGCTATCGCGCAGACTTTGAGACCGTCCTGAAACTGGACCCCGAGAACGACGCGGCGCGGGGTGCGCTCCGCGAACTGCGCGCTGGCACGCCTGACGGACAAACCGAGGCTGTGGCCGATGCAGCAGGCGACGTCGACCCAGCCGCACTCCCTCTGATCGACGCCGACAAGCTCGAGGTCGACTCGGGCTCGGACACGAGTGACGCCCAGCACACGGCGAACGACGTCCCGTGCCTCTTCTACAACCACCAAGGCTGTGCGCGCGGCAGCGCGTGCGCCTTCTCGCACGCGCCGGACACGAAGAGCGTGCGCGACCGCCTGGGGAAGAACGTGTGCCTCTACCACTTGCTTGGGCTGTGCAAGTTCGACACCAAGTGCATATATTCGCACGAGCGCGCGTTCCTGGACCCAACGCGCGGATGGTGGAACGACGAGGCGAAGGTCGCGGAAATGGTGGCGCGCGTGGAGGCGCAGCGCGCGGAGGCGAAGGAGAAGCGCGAGCGGCGGCAGGCGCAGCAGGCCGACCCGGAGGCGAAGCGCGGGAAGGGCCGAGGCAAGGGGAAGAAGGGCAAGGGCAGGAGGAAGGCGGAAAAGGAGCAGGCGGCCTTTGCGGCGCAGGAGGGGCAGCAGCGGATGCTCGCAGCCGAGCTAGAGCACCGCATGGCGCTGCTTGCGTCGATGGGGATGCCGATGGGCATGGCGATGGTGCCGCCGCAGGAGATGATGGCGCGGCAGATGCAGGAGCTGGAAGAGCGCATGTCGGCGACCAACCTGGCGTTCACCGACTATGCGCCGCCGCAACGGACGGACGCGGTCCTGGCGCCGGTGCGTCCACCCACCGACTTTGCTGTTGCCCGCGAGACGAGCTGACATACTGCAGGCAACAGCCCCCGAAAACGGGGACGACGCAGGCCTTCCTTACTAACCAGTGCCAAAACGGTGGAATCTAATATATACACTCCTCTGCTGACTTAGCCGCGGCAGTATGTTGCTTACATGCCCTTCTGCTATTCTAGAGTCTCTCTGGTTTAAAGTATTCATTTGTGCGTTCGTATTTATGTTAAGTTTAATGGAGTAACTATTGTGGACGATGAGGCCTCAACGTCCGAGTTCCAGCGGACGTTGCATATTTTCAGGTACTAGTCATCGACAATGTCGACAATCGCACCACATTCAATTTACAAACAAGTTGAGAGCCTTTCGTCTGGGCTGGGTCAGGTACTGAACGTTGAAGCTTTAGTGAGAGCTCGAATCCAGAGCCCGTGGATTCAGGATGGGTATAGTATACGGATAGTAGTACATAGATTGTCGTTCATAAGTTACCACACTGCGCTGACGGGACGCACCCAATACTTCACGAACTGCGGACTGGGCGCACGACGAGCGGCAGCTGGCTGCCCGCCTTCGGCTCGCTGCGCACCAACGGGCGCCGCACCGGCGCCGCAGCACAGCTTATTTCGCCGGGCGGCAGCGCGGCCTCGAACTCGAACGCCCGGACGAGGGCAAAAAGCAGGGCCTTCATCCTGCGGCTCTACCGGTCAAATCTGCGCGATTTTTCCAGGGTAAAATGGGTGGGAGGCTCACTCAAAGAGAGAGAAGCGGAAGCCGATGCAGTTGTGAGTTCCTGTTGGGTGGCAACGCATTGCGGTTAGAGGTAGCAGGAAGGAAGGACAGGAAGAAGCCACCTGCGAGGAAGGTAAGCAAATTAGCCCAGACGCTGGGGACGGCGCTCGCCGCCTCGGGGACGCAGTCCCATCGCTCGGGCCTGTCGTGCCTAGAATCAGCCGGCACAATAATGTAAAGGTGCATATGCACCTGAACTCGTGGGCATCGTCGCCCCAGATCGCCGTGTCGCTGTGGACTTCCGATACCGGGATGCGCATGGCTGTCCCTTTGGGAATGCTTTACCACCGATGTAAGCCAAATCGCATGCGTCATGCTGAAGTAGAGCGTACGAAATAGTGCTGTAGAGCTTCCCGGTCCTGTCGACATACGGCTTGCTGAGCGGCAGAACATCGTCGGTCATAGCCGTGCGGATTGTGAACAACACTGGCGGGTATACGCGCATCGTCTCGCGGATGACATGCTCGAGATACGGGAGGGAGTTCAGCTCGTCCATTGTGGGGCACTCGCTGCGAAGGGTCTGGAGCTCCCCCCGCAGCTTGGTCTGGATAGCAGGGTGCAGTGAGAGCGCATGGAGCACCCAAGCAGTAGCCGTGCTACATTCGATTTAGTCCAGGGGCGGTACCCGTTCGGTTGTTATGTCGCACCTCGTTGTCTCATGGCCCGCGATCAAGAACGTGGGCACCTCTGTATCACATTCGACGCTGTGAAGATGTCGTATGAACGGGGGACGACGTACGTGCAATTACATCTGCATCGCTAAGCCTCTGGTGGTCTGGGATGTCGTCGGACATATTCGCCTTGACGAGGATTGAAAGCAAATCGCGGCCCGTCGCCGAGGTCTCGCTCCCACTGGCCTTAACAGCGGCTTTGCTGTCCGAGAGCAGCTTGTGCGAGACCCTCAGCAGCGTCTCGTGTGCGTCGCGCTGCACCTTCCCTCCAGGATCTGGCTACAGGGGCATTCAGAGAGAGACGTAAGTGCCAGATGGAGTCTTACTAGTAGCGATAGCAGAGGAAATGAAGCCCGTATAAATCGAAACACCGCCCGTCTCCGGGCTGCGGAAGAGTGAAAGAGGTGAGTGATCGCTTCGTCCAGTTCGTTCGGCTCGCCCTTGGGCTCCAAGGCATTGAAGTCATAGTGGAAACCTTGTCGAATCGGTAGAGAATAAGCAAATCAGAACTGAAAACCGACCGGCTTGTCCAATAATATCTAACGTTGCTTTCCTGAGCCACGCATAAGTGTCGATACGGGCTACGCCGTGCTCGGCTGCGATCTGGCGGAGCCAAATATCTCTGAGCTGTCTAGAAGTAAGTGAGAAGACGAGCAGATTAGACGGCACAGGACCTGAGCAGATTTGTCGTTGAATATCTCTGCCAGCTGTCGAATTTGAGCTACACCGAAGGCGGGATTCTGGGGAGCTCAGCGGCGATGACACTCAATGGCAGAATCTACCAACCAGGATCTTTCTCTGTTCGTACGTCAGCAAATGAAACAGAGCAAAGAACGTTTAAGACGTTTACCATGCGTTTGTGCTCATCCATCTCAGCTACCAATACACCTGGGCCTCTGTGAGCAAGGGAAAGGCTCCGACAGATCGACATAGTACTGTTTCCGAGAAAGTGACTGAGTATCTTTTGTGCGATGGGTCCCTTCTGGTATATGGAATCATTCACGAGAATGTGGTTCAGCGCCCTTGTATCCGCCGTGAACAGCTCCCGTTTCTGGCTCCGTCAGTTCAACACTTTGTTGAAGAGAATGGAGGAATCACGGACATTCAAGAGCCCGCGAACCTGAAAGTTGCGCCCAAATTCCTGACACCACTTGTGTGTTATATCGACATCTTTCTGCAGTGAGAAAAGCGTCAGTCCGAACATCGAGATTCGCGGCTCTCGGACCTCCAATTGCCGGAAATGGCCATAGAGTAGACTCCCGCCATTTGGGCCAGGAAGGTTGCGCAGCGGAGACGCAAGCTCGACATAAAGAGCCTCGGCAAGCCGAAACAGTAAGTAAGACGCAAGCGACCCTATAATAGGGATGAGTATCGGTGGGGACATGGCTGGACGCAAGCTGGACGAAAGATCTGACAGTGACACTTGTCTGACACCTTCCAATCCAAGCCATGTGACGAGCAGCGACGTATGCGTAGCACGTGGTCTCGACTGAGTCACTTGATCCTCAGATCCTGTTGTCGTCCACCGATTTCTTGACTGAAAAATACTCCGAAAAATGGCTCTCGCGGCCACATCGGGCATCTCAACCAAGGCTGTTTATAAACCAAAAAACCGCCTCCCAGCGATTTTTTAATAAATCTGGTCGATTTTTTTTTTACAAACCAAGCCGTCCCGGCAACTCGGACCCTCAAGGTGGCCGATGCGGACCGCCGGCCCAGTATGCTCAGTTTGAAATAAAAGCGATGGCAACCCAAGAGCATATCCTGGTGACCGTTCCAGATGGAGCAGCACAGAGTGAGCATGTGCACCCGTCAAGTACGTCCCGTACTGCAAGCGTTCTTGACAGATCCCATGCGGGCTCACAGGACTGGAGGTTGACGTTGTGGGCCAAGGAGTTCCATATACACTTTCAACATCCCCAGTTTCCCCGTTTCGTAGAGTGTCTTTTCGGCATCAATGAACCAAAGAACTTGAGTCTCATTCTTTTCTGCAAGAGTCCCAATACAACAGTGACCGCGGTGGCCGCGGACCTGCGTGTGAGCCCTGCCAGCTGCGGTCGTGGAGGGACAGAACTTGCGTACAGCGCCGCTGTACTCGAGCTCGATATATACTGTATGTACATGCATATAGTGTTGTAACGCCTCTACCAGCCCGGCGCGTCTGCTCACAGTCAAAGCCGAATAAAAATGTGATACGGCTAGCAGGTTGAACTTGAACCTTCGAGAAAACGTAGGTCGCTGCTGTCATGATGACATTGTTACTCAATGCTGATGTTGTTACCAAAAACTATTGCAGTATGTCTCGTATTTCTCCAAGCGACCTTTGAACGGCAAGTCACAGAAAACAAAAGTAATTGCCCACTAGCTGATTCGAACAGCTGATCTTGTCATTGTAGAACCCGAATGCTAAATACGAGTGACACGCCTTACCACTGGGCCAAACGGGCAACGAATGCTACTCGACATTAGCCAACTTTATAGCTCTAATAGATTGGCAGATAGACACTGTCACTAAATGCATGAAGAATTCTATACGAATCAACGGTCAGAATCATAAGATCATCCACACCCCACAATCAAATTACAAGCACTGAAGGCCTACAAGACCTTGAGCGCCCTCAGCCAGTTCTCCATCCTACCTTGATTTCACCTCCGCGCAGTCGTCCTCCGCCGCGGCAGTGGCACGGGCAGCGACGCGAACGCTGTCCCGGTCATCGCCGTCCCAGGCTGTCGCTTCGGCGGTGCACGCGCTGTGGGCCATTGTGAGCAAGGGAAAGGCTCCGATCCAGATGGATCGACATACTGTTTCCGAGAAAGTGACTGAGTATCTTTTGTGCGATGGGTCCTTTCTTGGTATATGGAATCATTCACGAGAACGTGGTTCAGCAGGGTTCAGCGCCCTTATATCCGCCGTGACAGTGAGAACAACGTCAGTCCGCACATCGAGATTCGCGGCTCTCGGACCTCGACTTGGCTGCAATGGCCATAGAGTAGACTCCCGCCATTTGGGCCAGGAAGGTTGCGCAATGCGCAGCGGAGACGTGGCACGTGGTCTCGACTCGGTCACTTGATTGTCGTCTACGACCAGAAAGTCGATTTTTTGACTGAAAAATACTCCGAAAAATGGCTCTCGCCGGATCGGGCATATCCTGGTGAGCTTTCCCGTCACGGTGGAGCGGCACAGAGTGAGCATCGTCTTGTTGTGTGCACCCGTCAAAGTACGTCCCGTACTGCGAGCGGCAGATGGCATTCTTGACAGTCCGACCGGCCGGATGCTCGCCGTGCCCAATAGCATCCCACGCGGGCTCACAGGACTGGAGGATGACGTTGTGGGCCAAGGAGTTCCAAAAATACATTTTCAACATCCCCAGTTTCCCCATTTCGTAGAGTGTCTTTTCGGCAACAATGAACCAAAGAACTTGAGATTCTTTTCTGCAAGAGTCCCAATACAACAGTGACCGCGGTGGCCGCGGACCTGCGTGTGAGCCCTGCCAGCTGCGGTCGTGAAGGGACAGAACTTGCGTACAGCGCCGCTGTATACGTACTCGATATATATTGTACATACATATACGCGTTGTCACACCTTTATGGCCAGCCTAGCGCGTCTGCTCACAGTCAAAGCCGGATAAAAATGGGATACGGCTAGCAGGTGGGTTGAACGTTGAACCTTCGAGGAAACGTAGGTCGCTGCTGTCATGATGTCAGTGTTACTCAATGTTGTTACGAACGTGCACAAAATATTGCAGTATAAGAATGTTTCGTATTTCTCCAACCGACCTTTGAACGGCAAGTCACAGAAAACAAAAGGGAATGCTCACTAGCTGATTCGAACAGCTGATCTTGTCATTGCATACATGAGGCGGTCATGTCCGAGAATACGAGTGACACGCCTTACCACTGGGCCAAGCGGGCAACGAACGCTGCTCGACATCAGCTAATATAGCTCTGATAGATTGGCAGAGGAGAGATAGAACTTGCGTACGGCGCCGCTGTACTCTATATATACTGTACATACATATACGCGTTGTCACGCCTTTATGGCCAGGCCAAGGCCGAATAAAATGTGCGGCTAGCAGGTGGGTTGAAGCTTCGAGGAAACGTCTATCGAGTGTCATGATGTAATTGTTACTCAATGCTGATATCTGTTGGTACGAACCATGCACAAAATTTTGCAGTATAAAAATGTGTCGTATTTCTCCAACCGACCTTTGAACGGCAAGTCACAGAAAACAAAAAAATGCCCACTAGCTGATTCGAACAACTGATCTTGCCATCTATATAATAACAGAACTCGAATACGAGTGACACGCCTTACCACTGGGCCAAGCAGGCAATAAACACTGGTCGACATGAGCCAATATAGCTCTAATAGATTGGCAGATCTATTATCCGTCGAAGGAGACTGTTCCTGAGCGGGCGAATAACGATCATCCTATTCAGAAAGAGTCAGATCCTTCAAAGAAAGCAAGGAAGTATACAAGAGAGGATGGACTTGATGCCGTGACATAAGACAAGCGACAACTGTCAAGACAAGTGAGCCTTCTGATTGGTCGACGCGTCATCAACGTGGCACTCGACGCTCTCCAGCGCTTCCCGTCAGCCGCTGTGTCCTGCATTCCCTCTCTTACACTCTCTAAGACCTTGATTATCCCCCATCCGTCTTTTCAACGGGCCAAAACGCTGCATAAATGGCTTTCAAGCCTTCAATGCAGACCGCGTTCGCAACACTCTCTTCCTGCCATTCCAGCGGCAATTTTGACGACTCTGGAGCCTTAGGTTGTCTTCCAGGTACCCTTAATGACTTTGGGCTTCAGCTGGGCCGCATTCAACCAACAGAGTCGGCTCCTTTGCTACCTGTTCCGTCTGGGCAACTGGCTGGCTCCAACGGCTCTCATGGGCTCACAGAATCGACTGGCAGTTCGATATCTTCTGCCGGTGTTTTGAGGCCTTCAGAACATCCGCTGCGTCCTCTGCTGCCCCGGCCGTTGACGGAGGCACGGGAAGAGCCTTTCATGGTTCAGGTGCGTTGACCTGCGGAGTTTTAGCTGTATTCACATTTTGACACACAGTCAGTGTCACAGACAATCACTTGAGGGGCGTCCGATCCAGTGCGATACTGGGGGATAGGGGTAGTGCCACCAACAAAGATCGTAAAAATGAGTGAATAAAAGCCTAGCTACTACAGGCAGAAAGCTACTACTTATATACTGTTGTAGCTAGCGTGAGAAGTATTACTAACGTGAGAACCCTTATTACTAATGGTGGGAACTCTTACTAACGTGGGAACCTTTATTACAAATGGTGGGAAAGCTATGTTACTAATGTGAGAAACTGGGGTCTGTCCTTGACAACCGTGTCCATAAGTTAAACATGTGTTCACCCTGATCATTCATCCAATCCCTCGGGTGTTGGTACTTCTTTGATCATCTCGATCGTATCTGAGAAGCGAACTCTTGACCGATCACTGGTCTCACGCCTCTCACATGTGTCTCCGATGTCTCCGAGGTCACGTGGGTCACGTGTCATGTCACGACAGGAACAAAGACGTGACATTACCCCCCCTCTAGACTCAACGTCCTCGTTGAGTGACGCAAAGAAGGGATCCTCGTGGACTTCACGAAAAATTCCCAAGTCCGGCATAAATAATTTTTTTGTCAAGTATTTCTGGGACTCCTCCCGAGGTTTAAACCGGTGGATTAAATAATCCCAGTGGCCAACAGGTAAAATGGGAAGTGCGCGCACTTGGATCCCGTGCTGCTTGTTGTACTCGTTTAACAACCGCTTGGCGTGAGTCAGGTGACGTGTCGGTTCCCAAGTCCGATCCGACATTGGATAATCCTTCCACTTTATTAAATATTGATAACCTCGGCCCCGTTTCTGATGTTTGAGGATCTGCTCGACCTCGTACTCCGGATTCCCACCGATTATCTTCGGTGCAGGCCGTTCCTCCCTCCGGTGTGGTGGAGGTTCCACGAAAAGAGTCAACTTTGACTCGTTGAATACCGGGTGCATTCCTTCCGTCTCTGGCAACTTAAGCCGGTAAGATGCCGCTCCGACCTTCTCAAGCACCTCGTAAGGACCTAATCTAAGGTCCGATAACTTCTCCGAAGGTCTGTCGGTAGCAATGTCCTTTGCTTCGACCCAGACCTTATCTCCGGGTTTAAAAACCGGCGCGTCCTGACGCTTAGCGTCATAATATTTTTTCATTCTTTTCTGTGCTTTTTCTAAGGCCGCGGACGCGTTATCGCGGACCTTGTTCATCTGCTCAGCAAACTCCTGAGCCGCCTCATTCCGAGTCTCAACGGCATTCTCGATCCCTTTCCAAGGGTGATAGCCGGTGTTTAAAAAGAAAGGCGACACCTTGGTCGCTGAAGAAGCCTTGTCGTTATGGGCGAACTCGGCCAACGACAACCATTCCGACCAGTCCGTTTGGTGATAATTAACAAAAATCCGGAGATATTTCTCAATCTCCTGATTCATACGCTCCGTTTGCCCGTCGGTTATCGGATGGTGAGCCGTACTGGGGTTCATCTCAACCCCTAATATCTTATTAAGTTCCCGCATAAATATTGAAATATAACGTCGGTCTCGATCCGATATTATTTTGCGAGGAACCCCGTGATATCTAATCACTCTGTCACGCGTCAAGCGTGCTACTCCTTCACTTGAGAGCTCCATTGAGGTTGGCTCCGCGTGAATCATCTTGGTGAAGGTGTCGACCCACACCTGAATAGCGTTATGCCCATTACTAACGGGCAACGGACCGATAAGGTCCATCGAGATAACCTGCCACGGTCCCTCAGCAATCTTGTGTACATTGAGTTTGCCTTGTTTGTGACGGTGTACTCGTGTCCTCTGGCATGGCTCGCATGCTTTAATATACTCCGAGACCTGATTACCAAGTCTCGGCCACCAATAATTACGTTCGATCATTTCCTGCGTCCGGTTCTCTCCGGGATGACCAAGCAGGGGGCTATCATGGTGAAGCCCAATGATCTTATCACGCAGTTCCTTATCCCAAGGAACATAAATGAGATCGTTATAATAAATAACGCCATCTCTCTTCTCCCATCCAGGGAGTTTCCGTTCAAGAGCATTTTTAACGCTCTTGTCGATTCTCTTTGTCTCGAGAATCTTGTCCCAGATTTCCTTTTCTGGACCTTCGAGCTCGATGCCTTGAGCTCGGATGTACTCCGCCCGGAAGTACTCGGGTTTCAACAAGACGACATCCTTGTTATCGTCCTTGCCCATGTCGTGATCCGCACGACGAGATAATAAATCTGCTTTTTTATTGAGGGCGCCAGCCCTGTGTTTAAGCGTAAAATGATACGGAGCTAGCTCCGTGATCCATCTAGCCTGCCGCCTATTTATCTTTTGCGGCTTCTTAAAATACTCCAGATTCTGGTGATCCGTCAGAATCTCAACCTCATGCCGAGCTCCCATGAGCATCGGCCTCCATTCCTCCAGGGCGAGCATTATCGCGAGCATCTCTTTATCGTAGATCTCGTAATTTCGCTCTGTCTCGTTCATTCCATGAGACATGAATGCAACGGGTCGCCATTGGCCATCCTGTTCCTGGCTAAGTACTGCACCCGTGGCCCCTTCGGAAGCGTCTGCCTCTAGACGGAATTTCCCATCATCCGTCGGCAACGCCAGCACAACATCTTCGGCAATCCTTCGCTTTAGCTCGGCAAAGGCATTACGTTGATCATCACCCCAAGTCCAGCCGGCCTTGCCGGTTAACTTAGTCAGCGGTTTTGCGACATCGCTAAACCCGCGAATAAAACGACGATAGAAATTAACAAAGCCTAGGAACGCCTGCACTTGTTTGACGCTCTTTGGCTCTGGCCAATCCATGATTCCAGCAATTTTCACCGGGTCCATTCTCATGGAGTTGTGCGAAATAATTACACCCAAATATTCGATCTCCTTCTTATCGAAATCACACTTTTCGGGTTTAAGGTATAATTTATTCTTCTCGAGTATCTCCAATACTCGAGCGACAATCCGATGGTGTTCCTCCAGGGTTTCCGTGAAAATAAGGATATCATCCAAATAAATGACGACATGTCCTTCGTTGACCAGCTCTCGAAGGATATCATTCATCATCGTCTGGAAGGTGGCGGGCGAGTTCGTCAGGCCGAAGAACATCACGAGGGGCTCGTACAAGCCTCGATTCGTTCTGAAGGCAGCCTTCCACTCGTCTCCTTCCTTTATCCGGATATTATTATAACCCCAGCGAATATCCAGTTTCGTAAAATAATTCGCGCCTCGGAGTTTATTAACCAGCTCCGAGATCAGCGGAAGAGGATAACGATTCTTAATCGTCATCTCGTTTAATTTACGGTAATCCTGTACCGGTCGAAGTGACCCATCTTTCTTCTTGACAAAGAAGAACGACGATGCCATCGGTGACTTGGATGGCTGGATCCGTCCACTCTTCAAATTCTCATCTAAGAACTCGTCGAGTTTCTTCTGCTCATCCAGTGAGAGCGGGTATATTTTACAGTCGACGGCTTTGGCGTCCGGTTTCAGTTCGATCGCATGGTCCCACGGTCGTCTTTCCGGTAAGGTGTCGAAAGACTCCTTCGCAAACACCTTGACATAATCCCGATATTGCTCTGGGATCTTGTCAGCCGTCATCTTCTCATGATCAGCATTCGCCTCCTCTGCGAACTGCTGCGCATAAGTGGACTTTGCACGTAACTCGATTGCGTGCGCAAAGTCGACCACAAGAAGACTTTCTCCGTCTTCCATAAATTTAGTCGAGTCTGTGCTCGCACAGAACTCCTCGTCATCCATTCCACATTCCTTTGGACAACGATTGAATAAAATCTTTTGATCACGCCAGTTGATCGTTGGGTTATGCTCGAAGAACCAGTCATAACCGATAAAGATACGGGCCTTCCCGAGTCCGGTAACCAAAAACTTCCGACGTTCGGAATGCGGTCCGATTGTGACGATCAACTCTACGTAATGAGTGATCCGTCCTTTGACATTTTCGGTTCCGTCAGCGTTACGGGCCATAATCGGAGACTCCAGCTCCTTCATCTTGAAGTTCTCAGCCTTCGCATAATCCCGGTCAATGCACGTAGCGGTGCAACCCGTATCCAACAGGCCTTTGACCGTCCGAGTTTTCCCTGTGTCTAACGCCTCAAGCGTCATTGACACCAGCATCTCATGCCTTGTGCGTTGTAACTGGAACGCACGCAGCTCCTGTTCCAACAGGTTCTCTGAGACACCCATCGCGCGGCGAGCTAGCCAACGCGCAGCCTCCTGCTTCTTTAGTCGGAACGGGACCTTTGTTCGGACTGCCAAAGCCGAAACCTCTG